CCACTTACACCACAAATACTGTAGTCATATTTTCTCATTAGTTCCTTTTGGTTGTCACAATTATGATTTTCCAATGTTTTTAGAATTAGACCAAAAAACATAAAAGCTGTGTGTATATATAGAAAAGACAATTATTTGCCATAACTCAAGGATCTTTTGTATCTTTTCTTACAGGTAGAAGCTTGCACAGTTTAATTCATTAACCTTAACCTTTCATTTAAGTCAAAGAAGGTAGGGATCAGTTGGCTAAGGGAAGAAAATTACAGGGTTTTGAATGACTTATTTTCTAAGTTGTCATTTTTAAAAATTATTTTTAAGCTCTTACATTTTGCATTACATCATGGAAAGTCAGAAACCTTGACTTTGTGAATTTATTGCACAGCTTTATATGCAGGAGCCGTCAAGATGATGACCCTAAATTTGAAGTTGTCTCAGTCGTGCTGTTTTGTTACTTTTGAAGAAGAGACTTGTTTGCAGAGAACCTTTATACCAGTAAATATTTGTACACTTAAGTAATTTTTTTGGTCGTGTATACAGACCAGGTGGGAAGAATATATGCAAGTACATGTTAGTAGACAAATTTCCATTGTTCGGTAATCCAGAGTGAGAGCTTTTTCCTGATATTAATTGGAATTTTAGCAACGTTACAGTTATATCCTTTTCTTCTTGAGATTTGTTTACCTTTTCAGGTAGGAAGACATTTTTAGAAATTATAACAGTAAGAGGCAGTCTCAGGTTTGTTAATCTCTGAACATAATGAACTTTGGGATGTTGATGTGTTCAACATCACAGTGCTGAGTGAGCCCTAGTTGTCTTATAAATATCTGTGGTCTTTAACTGGTTTAACAGTAGGTAGGTATGTGTTTACTTATATTCTTGGTTTCTGATTGGCATGTTTATGTGCAATCAATTTCTGCTCTTTGCCTTATGCTGCTCCTGATTGCACTGTAAATTGCATAGTGTGTGATAATAATGTCTTACTTTTAGAATCAAATGCCATAAAACTGAATTGCATATCAGTCTATCAGAGAACAGCATTCATAAAATATTGAGTAGATCTAGGGAAAGCTTGGCATAAGAATTTGTTAGATAATATTTTCAGGTTTAATGAATAAGCAGTTTCTTCCTAAAATAAGTATTTCATGTTCTCTGTTTTGATATTTTCATGTTTTACATGATTCTAAATAATACTCATCTGCAAAGTAAGAAGTGAAGAGATTTTAGCTTTGGCCAGCTCTGATCCAGACTTGTATATCATCAAAGCTCTAATTGTAGTCTTATTTCTTTATTCCTTGGCTAGTGAACTCCTGTCTCATTTTGGTAGTAAGTTACTTTGAGTGTGAAAATTACTTTTCTTCTGGGAAGAATGTTTATATTTTGATATATTTGGAGGAAAAATATAAAAGAAATATCTGTGTCCCTGTAACTTTCACTACTTCATCTAGATATTGCCTGTCTTTTTGTTATTAAAATTAGTAGGATGAGCTGATAGAAGTCTGTTCAGTAACCTTAGGTTAAGAGATTTAAAAAGATCTCTCTGCCTTGACACACAGCTGTTGTTACCATGTCCAAGAGGCATCACGTTAGCTCCCTGATAAATAGGGGTTAGTCCCCAAGTTTTGGGGGGCTCAATTATCTGTTTTGCTTACTTTTGTCATTTGCTACTGCTTTAAGTAATAACTTTGCTCCTCTTACTTACCAGTATTATGCTGATGTGTTTAAGTTTAGGGTTTTTTATTGTCTAATTCAGCAACATTGTAAATATAAAGACGTCTAAAGATAAATATGGCAATAATCTATAATTTTGATGGATTACTGCAACAGAATTAACACGACTTGATCCTTGCTTTCTAGAAAAGGTTAATTTAATTTTGCTCATTTAACCTTTTTCTTTGCTGTCATGCATAACAAAGATTAAAAGGTAAAAGTAATAAATACACAACTACTCTTATTTTTCCTTATGTTTTAAAAAAATCAGTTGTTACTAGCAATTATGTATTCTGTGACCCTCTGCAGAGCAGAGGCTAATGAGGCCATATAAAATGTTTTTTCTGTCTCTACAAGTTAATTTACATAGTGATGATATATAGAAGTGATAATAGAAATTAAACCTGAAATTAGATTGACTTATGCAAGTTATAGAAGGCAGACAAAAAATTATAATTCATTATTTCAGCTATATTTAAATTTTTTCTTGTCCAAACTAGAGGTGTCATTATCTCACTCTTTTCGATGTCAAGTGACGTTACTATTTTAAAAAAAAAAAAAAAAAAAAGAAATGAGGCAGTAAAAGCTACATTTTTTGCCTTTTTCTTTTTAATGGAAATAGCAAAAAACTGTGAAGATTTTCTTTTCCCATTAGGAGAAAGTGAACAGTATTTCATTTAGAGTCCAAGATGTCACTAAGAACAGGATTGGAGTCACTCAAGCCACTTGAAAAAACTTTAACCCGTAAAGCTGGCGCTATCTGGAAGGATTAAAGGATGTAATTATAAAGGCCACACAGGCAAATACTTTTGTCTTTTGCTCCTGGAATAAAGTGACTGACTGCATCTAAAATTCCTTCTCAAACACTGTGTTTCTAGCACTCTTTGTTAAAACAAGCTTATATATATATATATACTGACACCCTTACTGCAGCGGGAGAGAAGCTACAACTTCCTTTCTTCACAGCTGAACAGATTTTGTTTGGAGCCAGAGAATGGCCAACATCCTGAGTATACAAGGATTCTGAAGAATGCACATGCAGATATGTCTATGTGCAGATAATACAAAATTGACTCTGAAAATTTGTGTAACTGAAGTTGTACGGAAAATTAGGTAGTCTTTTATGTCATCTTGACTGTCTTGTGGTGGTATTGTTAGACAGTGATTGTTATATTGTATTTTTTGATCAATTAATTGTCTCTCAGTGAGTAAAAATGATCAGAAATAATTTGAAAACTTGTAGAGTCATTAGATAAAATTTTCAAAATATTTTTTCTAGGGTCAGAATTTTTATCCAAGGCGAGAAGTGTTTCATGATCTCAGTACTGTGCTAAATGATATATGCAATAAGAATTAATAAAAGCTTCTTTTAGCTGTAATGTCCATTCACTTTTCAATTATGTCTTATTTGCTGAAATGTCTAATGAGCATACTGTCTAATAAAATACAGGATACTGATTTTCTATTTATGCATATTACCAGTAAAATAATTATTAGGAAGTATTTTTCTGGAATAAATAATAAAAAGTCTTTCTCATGGCCTAGTTGATCTTCATAAGCCAGTTAACAAAGATGAGTATCTTCTTCAAAATAATGTCTTACAGGAACAGAAGTAGTTTTTCACATACATAGAATGTGTTTAATGCTCTAAATCTTACCTGTTTTTTAGGAAAATAACCTGATGAAATTGTGTAATTCTGAGGTTAGTTTATATTAAAAAGCATAGTCCTGGTGTAACTTCAACAAGAAAACTAACTGTCATGCTTGCTAATTTTCGTAGCAGAGAAGTTGCGAGTTTAAACAAGTATAGAATCTGGACGTTTACCCTGTTTTTCTTCCATGTCAGGGGTTACCATGTTAAATATTTCTCTCCTTTCCTTGTGTATTCATAAAAGAACATAAGACAACCTTTCCCAATGGCAAGTATTGAAAAAATTTTCCAAAGATTAGGGTTTGACAGTTTTCAAGTGTTGCAGATTTGTAATGGTGGTAAAAGAACTATGATTAAGGTACTCTGTCAGAGGCATGCTGTTTTATTAATAGTAGTGAAATTTCATTCTAGATTTTAGAAGAGGGAAGCATAGATAAGGAAAATAGATATGAAAGGCTATCATTCAGTTACTGTGTTATTGTAAGCTATAAGAATTAGGTGGTTGCTTTTAAAATCTAAAATTGGCAGCATGAACAGGTAAATCAGATTGGGAGATAATCTATTGGTGGTGGTAAGTGGAGGAAAAAGGTCCCTGAGAATTTATGTGTATTTTCCAAAAGTTATGACAAACTCAGCAATACCTGTTTTTTTCAAAATTGGCAAGTAATTTAATTTTGTCTACTGTAGGATGGTTGATTTAAGAGGCAGAGTAGGTGATTGGGTAATTGATCTGAAAATTAAAGAGGAATATATCTGATCAGAAGAAATTCTTATGATTTATCCTATAAAATACACTTTAAAAAATTCTCTATGTAGAGAATAGCACAATAGTCATGGTAGCTGATCGAATGAACAGTGGTGCATTTTACATCAGTGGGATTGAAAATGTATTTTATGAACTGTATTTTTGAGTGATACTGTAAACAATGCAGTTGTAAACATAACATTAATATAGACTTGGTCATAAGTATATAATAAACTATTTTACAAGACAATGTTAGTTTTCATATTAATTTTCTTGCTTACAAGAAATCAAACAAGGAGATTAACAGAAAAAAACTGATGTGTTTCATTGCAAATTCATCATAGTTGTGACAAGGCAAACAAATGACCTGTCTTCTCATCTATACAAGCTTCTCTAACAACATATTGGAACACCAATGGCATGTAGCATTTCATGACCTGATGAATGCTGACTTCTGCAATAATCACTGAAGAAATACAAACATGAATTTAAAATTATGTTTTCTTATCTTTTCTCCTCATTACAGTGCATTTATAGTTCCTCCCTTGAAGAACTCTCAAAGCTTAAATCTTGCAATAGAAACTTTTCAAAATTACACAATAATAAAGAAATGGAAATTCACATTTGTATTATTTTCCAAAGGATTTGCCTGTATATATTTCAAGCAACTCACATAGTCAAAGACTTCTGGAAATATTCCTATAAAAGCAGTCAATGTAAAATAATATTTTTCTCTAATGTATACATGTAGCCGTATGCATTTTCAGTGAATTGTATGGAACAATTCACAAAATGAAGAAATTGAGATACAGTACCTTACACTTGTGGATTGTGCTCTCGCTATTTAAAAATTATCTATTGTCTTTTAACTGTGATTTTACTATATGTGTCTTCCAGATGTGTGGAAGTGATTGCCAAAGAAGGCCGGAACCTGAAAGAGCTATATTTAGTATCCTGTAAGATCACTGACTCTGGTATGTAGTATACCTATATCTTTGGTTTTGTGAAGATTGAGCTCTGCTAGCTTTGCACAGGGACTCTTGTGAAAGTGTTGGAAATGTACAGATAAAATTTTTCAAAACCTTTATCCATAAAAATAGGAAATGTACAAAAAGTGTTTGACATGCTTAAAAACATCTGGTTAGAAGTATGAAAGGCAGCGTGCATATGTGCTACAAAGTGTTCCTTATAGAATTGACAGTTACTGAGCAGACTAGATAGAGTGCCCTTTGAATTGTCCTGGAGACCAGGAGACCATTTGGGAGAAAATCTAAAAATACATGTGCATTTCTAGATGCCTGTTGTAGGCCATAAAATTTGAATGAACTTGATGATCCCTTAAAAATGCTGTTATGAGAAAATAGAGAGGAGCACCTTACGAATTAGGCCTTCTGTGTGATAGGCTACAGAGAGAGACAGAATTTGTATTTGGAATAGGAAAACTTCGTAGCACTTGAGTGTGTTTGCAGAGGCTACTTTGTTTTATCTTGTTTTGGTTTTTTCAAATAAGATACATCAAATAAGACTTATTTCTGCAATAAGGCCAAATTCTCAAATGTCTATCTCCCACTTACATGCCTAAATTTCAGTAGGATTTACAAACTGTATCTTTGAGATGTGTGTCTCAGGTTTTCTGTTTATTTTGTTTCTCATTATCCTTTTTTTTTTTTATTTTAACTTTTTACTCCAGAGCTTTTATAAAGAATTACTATTTCAAAGTGATAAATTACCTTTCCAGTGATCACAAACTCATTCTTTTGTTTTCCCCTTCAGATTTTGCACTTCACTGGGGTTTGCATGGGTGCATTCAAGGGTATGTTGGTCTGCAGAGTTCAGCTTGTCTCATGTCCACAGTATTTGCACATGAGCTCACAATACAGCTGTAGCACCTGTGGGAGCTTTGAGGCATGGCAGAGGAGAGGGAGCATGGGCCTATACCACCGTTTTCTCTGGTCTGCAGTTGTTTGTACATCCATGTGCAGAACAGGTCTTGCCAAAGTTGAAAACAGATTTTCTTGGCTTGATACCTCTTGGCCATGAGTCTGTGAATTTGTGAAATGGGAACTGTCTGCTGGAAATTCAGGGAGGGGAATTATCTGTAGAACACAAAGTGACTACTATAGGGTCAGAGGTGCAGGACCTCAGCTAGAAGTGAAACTGTCTGTTTGTGTGTTATAGATCTACTCGCTGTACTTTTGTCCCTTCTGACTTTGACAACCCATGTAGAAAGAATCATCATGGGAATAAGGGAATCCACATCTTGAGGATCAGTGATTTCTTAAACTGATGTCACACTTCTTTGGCTTCAGTTATTGAGAGGAAAACATGATTTCTCAAAAAGTAGGGAAACAGACACTGAGAAACTGAAGCAAAAAAACTGAGGATAGGGAAAGTCTTGCTTATGAAAGAATGGAGAGAGAGGAAAGGAAGTATGCATGGCTAGATGAAAAGTGGGAAGTGTATTTCACAGAATGAATGAGTGGAGAATATACGTAGAGTTTGGATTATTAGCTTGGCAACCGTAGTCATCCAACCTGAGCTTCTGTTGACTGCTGTGGACTAAGGCTTACATGTCACTAATGTGTTGGATTCTGCAGTCATTCAACATTATTGCAGTCAGTTACTGGGGTACACTATTAAGTGTACAGATTTCATGCAGCTTGATGGAGTACAGATGCAAGATTTTAAAAGCTCTGTTTGAAACTGTTCAACAACAATTTTTGGTGCTACAGCAGTTAGCGGAGTTTTGACCTCTGGGCCAAGATCATAAGTCCTTAGCAATTCAAGTGAAAAAAAAAAAAAGTAATATTGCTAATTTCCAACAAAATTTGTAATAATTTGAGACATTAATTAAGCAAAAACAATAACAATTGCAGTAAAAAAATAATTGCAGCAAAAAAATGTTATTATTGCCTTGCAATTAATGCTATAGGTGTATATGTGTGAGGTAATCTCAGGTACTCTAGCAAAGACTGTGAAGTGTGTACTTAGTCATTTTTCATTTCATTCTTTTGTTTTCCCATTTCTACAGTAAGACAGTATGCAAAACTACCAGACAGACATGCCTATATGCAATTAGTATTTTTAAAAATACTAAAATACTAAGTTTAATTTTGAAGCCTAAAAGATTAATTAAAAACCCCTAGACCCTGATAATGTAGCCATAGGCAGCATTACTTTCCCTGACATTTTACTGCCCAGAAAAATGTTTTGTTCTATTATACAGAAAGACAGAAGAGGGTTCAAAAAGGAATTGATGTATGTGTACATACTGAGAGTTGCTAACTTGTGAGAAAAAGAGTATATGCTCTATTTCATGCTACATTACAAAATGGTTAATTCTGTATTTTTTTGTATACAAAATAGTATATTTTGTTTAATTCTGAAGATTTATAGAATATTTATGTTTCTCTAGCATAATTTTCTAAAAATCCATTTTTAATTAATGATGTTTGTTACAGTGTAACATGCTAGGATCCTGAAAGTGAGTTTAAAAGTTTCTTTACGTCCAGCACATTGTAAAATGCTAAATAATCACTAGAATTTACCTAGACGGACAGGAGAAGCTGAGTTAGTATAATCTTTGAGATAAACACCTGTTTGCCCAAGAACACAGAGTGAAGTTAAAGCTGACATTACTTCCTCATATCATGTTGCCCTTTTATTAAACAGTCATGATTTAAGCATGGATTATCAGTGTTATCTTCAAATTTCTTGCCTTTTGTTGATTTGTGTCACAACCTTAACTTTACTTAAACATAGAGGGGTTTGTATTTTAGCTTTTACTAAAAACTATTAAGAAAGCTAGGCTTTCTCAGCTATGGGAAGACTGTGTGTCAAATGAATTAGGTTGATGTGAAAATGTATAGCGGTGAGCTAGGGCAGCAAGCACCCACAGAATTGTGTAACTGTCTTTTCAATTTTATGCTCTAGTTCTGGGTTTTATTGATATCCTTAGTGCTGGGAATTTGTTTTAAGTAAATCATTACTTACAAAGTTTGTAATGGTGGAGAGTGCTATGCACTCTGAAAGACAAAAGTGAGATTTTCTGTTCAAAGATGAAAAGATTTGATGAAACTAGCCTGTGAAACAGGACTAGGTGTTTTAAGGGTCTGATCTTGCAGTAATGTTAAGTGTAAATTTACTAAGAATTACTTAAAAACTGCATTCTTACCGGTAGTGAAAAATAAAAGTCTCTAATGCTTTACTTCCACTTTAGAAAAGTAGTCAGACCAGTGGGTTTTGTCTGTATGTGCAGAAAGTCATTTCAAGGCAAGCTTTAAATTGTAGGCTTCCACTAAGAGAAAAAAAGAAAAAGAAAAACAAAACAAAAAAAACCCTCAAACAGAACACAACCACCACCACCACCCCGCCCCCCCCCCCCCCCAAAAAAACCCAAAAACAGCTTTTGAAAAAAGTTTGGAAGGAAGTGTTCAAAATCAGCACTTTATACAGCTACACTGTGAGAAATTACTTAAGAAATTTCTGAATAACCAAAGTACCCAAACTGTCATTAATTGGAGTGCGGTTAGCACAGTTTGAGGAATATGTTTATCTCATAACAATTCCTGTCAAGTAACCTGCAGAATATAACAGTTGTCTTGGTAGTTGTCTTGTAGAATTTCCATTACCTAGTAGTTCTGGATTTTGCCTAACGTAAAAAGTCTCCATTTCTAGCTGTAAAGTAACTGCACAAAGCTTTTCAGATTAAATGCTTCCCACAAGGACCTGAGATGAACTGTGGTATTTTGCTGATACCTTTAAGATTTTGTATATATTGAAAAAGAGCTCTAGATCTGTAGCTTTTTTGTTTTCTAAAATCGTGAGTGTTCCTTTTTCATATTGCCTCTTTTCATCATTTACTGATATATTAGTGTCTCTGAGGACACATGATTTTTTTAAAACATTTTTCTTCTATGAGGATGTTTGCTGAAGCAAAAAACGAGTTACAGCAAACTATAATTGAATTACATAGTTTTTATTCTAAAATGTTATAGATGGGGCATAGCTGTTACAAGTTAGATGTCTGGAGGATAAGATAGTGTTTATACTGAGTCAAGTCCAACCGTCACAAGACAAAACATAACTGTAAGCTGCATTTTTTTCTTCAAAACTGGATAATAGATTCTTTTCTCAGAAGTGAGATACATCTAACAATGTTAAAATAGTTTTCCAAGATGCTGTTAAATTCTGTTGTCTTAATATTTAGGGTACATATGCTTTCTATTTTAAAATATAATATTTTAATTATCAGGGGATCAGGTCTTCTTACTGAATAATACAGATAAATCCTATGAGAGTCACTTGAGTTTCCTCTCCAGTATTCAGCATTTGTCATGTAAATCATAAAGAATAAGCATACTGTGGGTATTTCCTCACAAAAGAAGGTTTCGTTTCTGCTTCACACTTGGATTAGCAAATTTCTCTAATGGTTGATCTCACTAAAACTATTTCTTTCCTAATTTTAGCCTTGTAAAATCTATTTTTAAAACACCATGTCTTTTGTACAGTATTACTCAGAAGGGAAATATATTTTTTGTGGGATAAATGCAGCACTTATGGATAGACAGAATGAAACAGGTAGTAAATACATTTTTGAGTTAAAAAGGTTTCATACTCACACATTACCGGCTTACAATCTCTTACTTAATTTATATCACTTAAATAAATACAGCTTTCATTTTCTCTTTCAAAATTATTTTGAATTGCTGCTATATTGATTTCCAAGTTTCGCTTCTTCTCAGAATCAGTATTTCTCCTATTACGTTTTCCTATCCTGTGTGTATTTCTCTTTCATACTTTTTTAATGACCAAGTGCATGCAAACAGTAATCACACTGAGAACTATGTTTATGGTTGTAGATGAGTGTACGGGTAATCTTTCTAGGACCAGGACCTCTGTTATCTTCTTTAGTGGTTATATATGTTACCTATATATGTAAGTTTGTGTGTGTATAAAATGGTAGTATTATATT